CCCCCGGTATGGGAAACGAAAATCGAAGTCGAAATAAAACCCAAACCAAAAGTTTCACTCTAATAATTTGGCTTATTCAGATTCTCGGGCCCTCGGCGGTGGCTTTTCCACGATTCTACCAAATGCGAGATCCTGGCGCGTGACTGGCGCGCCCATTTTCGAAAATCATAAGATAGGTAGGCAACGCGCGCTGTTGGGGAGAGTATGCAGGGGTAGGTGGGGGGGTGGGTGGGAGGGGGGGGGGCAGGGTGATAGGAAATCTGCGAGCCCCCTCCTGCCACAAAAACTGCAGTCAAAATGGTTTTTCATTGGAAGCACGTGAATTTTGGGGGAAGGTCCATAAAGAAAAGTTATTTATGCCCGGTGAATATCAATGGGGCACCCCACGAGTGCATTCATAATATCCTATGCGTTAATCAGACTCGATGTTAACAAAGGCAAGCACCTGGCGACTGGGGTAGAGAGCGGTCAGTGTGCGTCCCGGAGCCATCGTGCACCAATCCAACGGCTGGATCCTCCCGTAACTGCCCTTTAGTAATGAACGGCTTCACCACGGTGACATCAATCTACCAGGGTGGAGTGGGGGGGGATCAAAGGGGGCACCGTGCAGCTTTACCCCAAGAGATGGGCAACTGACGGAGGCAGGAACGAAATAATATCGTTAGACGCTGGTAAAAAAAAAACTTTTCCTTGTCTCCTCCTACTAGCCTAGACCTTAGGGGAGGGCCCAAGGCAGCCTCGTCTTTTCCTTCCATACCGACGGATAAAAGGGACAATTGCACCCCTCCCTTTGTTTCATGTAAAACGACCACGACGTAAACAAAGCGTACGCGCATCTCGGACACTCACACGCACACACGCACACACACACACACATCTGGGACACACACACGCATCTGGGACACACACACGCATCTGGGACACACACGCACACACTCATCTGGAACACACACATGCATCTCGGACACTCACACACACGCATCTGGGACACAAACACGCATCTCGGACACTCACACGCACACACACGCATCTGGGACACACACTCATCTGGGACACACACACGCGCACACTCATCTGGGACACACACACGCATCTCGGACACACACACGCACGCATCTCGGACACTCACACGCACACACACTCATGTGGGACACACACACTCATCACGGACACTCACACACACACACACGCATCTCAGACACACATACACGCATCTCGGACACTCACACACACACACACTCATCTGGGACACACACACTCATCTGGGACACACACGCGCATCTGGGACACACACACGCATCTCAGACACACACACACACTCATCTGGGACACGGACACACACACGCACACACACTCATCTGGGACACTCGCACACACACGCACACATACTCATCTGGGACACTCACACACACACGCATCTTGGACACACACACGCATCTTGGACACACACACGCGCGCGCATCTCGGACGCGCCATGTGTCGAGCTGCGGCATGCAGAAAAGACAGTGATGTACGTCGCGTTTATTCAAGCGCTGGACGTTTGCTTCAGCAGATGGGCCGCCGGGGCCTCGGCTATGCGGGCTTTGTTTGTGTTTGGAGCGGGAAAGTATGCACACGCTGGAGGGTGGGGACAGATTCCACTTGTAATGGACCCACACGCTCCGATATTGTTAAACGCTTCATTGCGCCATGTGGGCGTTTTCTGTGCGGCTCTGATCGTTTTTCCGACCGACAGATGTAATTGTGGTATGTGATTGTTAGCGAGCACCTATTAAGGCCAACTTTATTTCCCCATCGCTGGTGTTGGCACAACACCAGGTGTTTGGTTTGTCGTGCCGAGCTGACCTCGTGAGAGAGGAGGGGCCTGGGGAAGATCCAGGCCCGTATTCTTATGAACGGCTCAGCCCAAAGCCGTGCATTCACCGAGCCAGCTCCGAGAGCAGGATCCCCGCCGTGCTCAGGATCACCCCCGAGCCGAGAGCCACGGCTGAGCTGCTCCTTGCGTCTATAGACAGCGACCGAGCGGCTCAACGCCTGGGGCCGAGCGGCCGCTGAGCTACACGGCCCTCAGAATAGCCAGCGGGGTGTGTGCGTGGCCAGGGATGGAACACAAGTGCGGCCGAGATCACGGGAGCGTTTCAACCACCGCACCCCCGCCTCTCGGCCAAGTTATGACCGCTCACTGACAACACCCGCCCGAACCCGCCGTATTAGGTGGGCGTGTCACCGGTGCGCGAGCTGTTGTGTGTGTGTGTGTTATTAGCGTGTGGGAGCAACTGTTGTAATGTCTAACAGTGGTGTACGTGTGAACCGACATGAGAGGAGAGACCATTTGTATGCTTACGCGTACGTATCCGCTAGTACGTCGTTTGCGCGTACGCTTGTACATTTGCAAGTACGTGTACTTGTACATTTGTGCGTGTATACGCTTATACGTTTGCGAGTGCGCGTATTTGTACATTTGCGTGCACGAGTGCGCTTGTACATTTGTGCGTACGCCGTGCGCTTGTATGCTCGCACGTGCATGTGCACATGGCTGAGTAGCAACGAGTTAATTGTACGACGACAGCCTTAGTCTACCGATCAGCGATGTTTACACATCACACCAGGTACTCATTTGAGACTGAAACGCTCCTGTAGCGGTTCTGATAATCGTCACCGGTGTTGGCGGAGAGCGGGGTTCATACCCCAGCGTGCTAAAGGCTGCACTACGGCTCCCTACTTTGTATAACCAGTTACATACACGCACGTAGAAAGCTGAATTTTTGCCTCTTGATTTGTATACATTGCCATGATACGGCTTTTCAAGTATCAAACTTTAGAGGTCTCCCTTTACAATTGTATACGTTCACCTATATTAATTTTTATTACAGAATTCCAAATCGTTACGTTATCACATAGCGTCTCGCAACCCTTGGTGACCATAACCGAATGCAAAAAGATGCACTCTGCCATCAACAGAGTGTTTTCCCCCTTTCGATGCATTTTTTTTTGTCGTTGTAACCCTGGCAGGAACCTCAAAGCACAGAAAAGTTAACGCACGGAACCGTCGCCAGCATTGGTGGGAGCACAAGTGGCCTAGAGGCAGCAACAGCACATTCACCGCTTGTAGCAGAGGCTCGGGGTTCGGATCCAGAAGGCGGCCCGGTTATTACTGCGGGTGTATTGTATATATAATGAGGGGAAAAAGTATTTGATCCCCTGCTGATTTTGTACGTTTGCCCACTGACAAAGAAATGATCAGTCTATAATTTTAATGGTAGGTTTATTTGAACACTGAGAGACAGAATAACAACAAATAAATCCAGAAAAACACATGCCAAACATGTTATAAATTGATTTACATTTTAATGAGGGAAATAAGACAAGATTGTAGACCTACACACGGCCGGAATGGGCTACAAGAACATTGCCAAGCAGCTTGGTGAGAAGGTGACAACAGTTGGTGCGATTATTAGCAAATGGAAGAAACACAAGAACTGTCAATCTCCCTCGGCCTGGGGCTCCATGCAAGATCTCACCTCGTGGAGTTGCAATGATCATTAGAACGGTGAGGAATCAGCCCAGAACTACACGGGAGGACCTTGTCAATGATCTCAAGGCAGCTGGGACTTTACTCACCAAGAAAACAATTGGTAACACACTACACCGTGAAGGACTGAAATCCTGCAACACCTGCAAGGTCCCCCTGCTCAAGAAAGCACATATACATGCCCGTCTGAAGTTTCCCAATGAACATCTGAATGATTCAGAGGATAACTGAGTGAAAGTGTTGTGGTCAGATGAGACCAAAATGGAGCTCTTTGGCATCAACTCAACTCGCCATGTTTGGAGGAGGAGGAATGCTGCCTATGACCCCAAGAACACCATCCCCACCGTCAAACATGGAGGTGGAAACATTATGCTTTGGGGGTGTTTTTCTGTTAAGGGGACAGGACAACTTCACCGCATCAAAGGGACGATGGACGGGGCCATGTACCGTCAAATCTTGGGTGAGAACCTCCTTCCCTCAGCCAGGGCATTGAAAATGGGTCGTGGATGGGTATTCCAGCATGACAATGACCCAAAACACACGGCCAAGGCAATAAAGGATTGGCTCAAGAAGAAGCACATTAAGGTCCTGGAGTGGCCTAGCCAGTCTCCAGACCTTAATCCCATAGAAAATCTGTGGAGGGAGCTGGAGGTTCGAGTTGCCAAACGTCAGCCTCGAAACCTTAATGACTTAGAGAAGATCTACAAAGAGGAGTGGGACAAAATCCCTCCTGAGGTGTGCAAACCTGGTGGCCAACTACAAGCAACGTCTGACCTCTGTGATTGCCAACAAGGGGTTTGCCACCAAGTACCAAGTCATGTTTTGCAGAGGGGTCAAGTACTTATTTCCCTCATTAAAATGCAAATCAATTTATACCATTTTTGACATGCGTTTTTCTGGATTTTTTTGTTGTTATTCTGTCTCTCACTGTTCAAATAAACCTACCATCAAAATTATAGACTGATCATTTCTTTGTCAGTGGGCAAACGTACAAAACCAGCAGGGGATCAAATACTTTTTTTCCCTCGCTTAATGTGCGTATGTTGAACTTCTTTCGCACCGTACATAGCCAACTGTGCGAATCGGTGGTGCGGGGGAAGGACAACAAACCAGGGAATAAGTGCCACCTGCTTCTCGGTGGACGCGAACGATCCCGCGACAGCATTAGAAAAGAGCGGCTCCATTGCGTGCCGCCGCCATCGTGGTCCCAAATTTAGCCGAATTCGAAAAACTCCGCTGCAAAGTAAACTCAGAAATGGGATCACGCGGAGCGACAACGCCCCGAATGCGGGACAAACTGCAGACCGTGTCTGTGCGACGCAGCACCTTCCTTCGTGAAAACCGTGACCCCGTAAGGATGGCATGAATACCAAACATACGAAATTATGATTACCTGCGGTTACTCTCTCACGCAGACGAGGCGTGGGTTTACAAGCACTCTACCGCCGCCACGCGCGCGAGCACCTACCCGCTCCGGCGAACTGGCTGCTCGCAAGGGTGGTGGGGCGAGTCTTCCCCGAGTTCACCGGCGGAGAGAACATCTGCGGAGACAGGGAGGGCACGCGCGCAGGGACAGATTTAATTACGTTCCATGTTTTTTCGTCCCCAGTCAGTCTTACTATTTCAATCGGCTCAAGCAGTGCCTTTTCACACGCGCGGGTGTCTTTCACATCGTTCTCAACTCCCGCCAATCCGGAGTTGAGAACGGGGGGGGGGGGGGGGGGGTGGGGGGGGAGGGAAGTGCGGGGGGGGGGGGCAGGGTCAGGCAGTCGAGAAGGCGCCGGCGCTGATGGACACCAAACCGCTGCACCCAAGGAAACATTTCATATCTGCGATTTGGGGTCGTGACATTGCCACAAAACGTCACCTCGCACGAGAGTAACGTCGGCCCGGCTCCCCCCCACCCCTGACAGCGCCTACCCGAGCCTTGACTGTTCGAGTCTCAGCACGCACGCAGTGCTATCAACGAACTTGGCTAAACAAAACAAAAAAACCCGAGGACTCTGCTGCTGGATTCCAGACCAACTGTCAGGAGTATAAAATTGCTCCACACAGCTTCCCGAGCAAGATTTTCACATCCCCTTCAGGAAACGTTCTTTTGATACCCTTTGAAAAATCCTGACTCACAACGTAATAATAATAATAATAAAAACCATCTTGGGCCCTCGATCTCATCTCCGAGGGAAGGCCCTGGACATGGATAAGTTCGGTTGTCATGGAAAGAGTGAGGCTCTGCGTGGGAAGCGGTACGGCATGTCTTGCGAGCGCCGGGAGGAGACATCGGCGTTTATTCGACGTGGCAGTCGATCATTCTTTGCCTCTTGAGGCGCATTCATTCGTTCATTCCTTTCAAATGAAGATCCAAAGCTCCATCTTTATTTTATTGATCTTAGCCCCCCATTTTAAAGTTTGTCAGTATGTTGATACTTTTGACGCCAAATTGTTGTAAAACCTCTTTGTTAAGTGCAACTTGAATTCCAATAAGCAGTGCCCAGAACGCGGCTGACACGCAAATTGCACCAACTGTTTACATTTTCGGCAGAAGCCGGATTAAGTTAATGTGGAAAAAAGAATCGACGTGTTTAAAACTCCTCAAACACACGTGCGCGCCAGCACAAAATAAAAAATAATCTCACAACCCGAGGACGCACCAACGTTCTTTTTTCTGTCCTTATCACTTTGGACGACACCGCTGAGATCCTGGGTTCAGTCAAGGCCGTCGTATGTACGTGCGTTGAACTTCTTTTGCGCCGCACGTAGCCAACTGTGCCAACTAAACGAGGCTTTTTAGAAGTTGCGCGCCGTTGGTCCGACTCGACCCAGACGCAGCTCTACATTAAAAGCAACAACTTCATAAAGCGATGAAAATTTATAAGAATAGGTTTTACCCTTTCTGGCAATGAAACAGGTGTTAAGATGTTCAAACACGAAAATTGATACCTTTTGCAAGGCAAAGTGTGCATTAATCACACATGCTCGTGGCAAAAAATGCATTGATATTCATTATCTCACGTTAATTTCCGTATTTGCAATTTGTCACTTTCGGTTTTAATAGCAGTAATTTTTCATTTCAATTCACGCCGAGGTCGGCTCCTTTCCCAGAAGCAGGCCCCGCCACCGTCCCTTCTGCCTTGGCTTCGGCGGAGCGGAAGGAAATTTCCACGGCAGACTTCGTCGCAAGCCCTCCCCCCACCCACCCACACGCGACGTCTGCGGCGACCAAAGCACGACCTAGGGGCAAGCAAGCGCTCACCCCTAATCGATGGTTAATGAAACTTGCAGCCGCAGCTTAAGATTTAGGGGTAATGAAATCGCGTAAAAGTACATCCGCCTAAATGCTCTTTGGTTTGTTTATATCGAGTGAGCGAGTAAACAAAAAGACAGCAACGAGGGCCACCGATACGGTGACAAACGGCGGTCGTGGGAACAAGCACGCGACACCGCTTGGCTCCGAATATAAGAGGCCCCCCCCCCGCCATCTCCGAGCTAAATGAGCAAGGCAGGGGGAGCACGGTGGCTAAACAAGACGGTAAGAGGCTCCCCCGCCTCCCCCACCCCACGCCGCCTTCGCCCAGTCGCCGGAGTTACCCCGTGGGGATCGCGGGCGTCCGAGCTAATTGCGAGACGCCTGCGGGGAGTAACGATTTTACGCCCTGGCGGTGTTTAACAACCCCTTGTGAGGCCGCAAGCGAGGGATCGCTCTCTACTCTCGCTCTCTCCCCTCTCCTCTCTCTCCTCTCCCTCTCTTCGCGTCACCATTCCAACAGAGTTTTTATTCCTCACTTCCTGCTTCAGGAGAAATGAAGCTCAGAATAATAAACAAGGGCCCCATCGCGAGCACACGCTGCAGTGACTCCGTTTCTCGGAGCGGACAAAAAGGTTTGGGGACTTGTAGATGCTGGCCACTGGAAACGCATTTCCGAGAGAGCCTTTATTAGCAAGCGTCGAGGCTATATTTACGAAGTGTATACCATTACACCCGGGGACTCGGTCCCACCGGCACCGCCAGAGAAAGAACCTTCTTTTAAACAAAATTCCAAGTCAACTTTAGCTTTTAAACAAGCCACACCACCACTGGGAGAACATGCAAACTCGTCAGGGTCGGGATCAAACCCACGACCCCCTGTCAACCAGGCGAGGTAGTTAACATCTCCTAGCCACCGTGGCGTCTCTGTGCTTACATTCTTATATTCATTATAAAGGAGGCGTGTAAATTATAAATGTATTCATCGATTAGAATCGGCAATTATGTACAATATATCAAAGTTATATGCAAATCATATGCTGCGACGCGCCTGGTATACAGGAGGTCGTGGGTTCGATCCTGACCCTGACGCCTGCTGCTGGATATTTGGAGTTTCCATGCTCTTCCCGTAGTCCTCTGGTTTTTCGCTCCACATTTAGAATCAGCAAGCGTTGAGAGCATTTGGATACTATAAATGTCCACGTGACGATAATCCACTTCGTTGACCTATCATTTGTGGCCAGGTCGCTTCTGAAAAAGATCTATAAAGCTCAGTGGGCCTTACCTGAAGAAATAAAAAAAGAGTACACAACAAGAGTGTGCATACGGCTACTTCACTTCACGCACGCCGTGACATCTCCTTTGCAACAGACAGGTTTGCAACGTCATCTACCAAGCACAGCGAACCATAGCAACGTTCAACAGGGGAGGGAGGGCGGAGAGGGGGGGGGGGTCGATATCTAAATGTCGACAACGCCACTCGGCATAATCACGGCAAACAACGTCGAGGGGGATATAACGTACGTCCGCGCCAATACGCTCGGGGCGCGCTGACCCGGCAAGATAGCCCGCGGATACTCAAACAGAAGCGGCAGGTCAACCCCACAACCAGAGGTCGAGCATGCTATCTACGACGTCACCTCTGGACAGCGAAAAAAAATAAAAGTGAATTATTTAGCGCACGAAAGCCAAACAGACTCGGCACACACGCTATTTCAGGAGGTTCATGCATCGGGGATGTTTGACCAACACTAATTACACGGCACGTTTTTAGCTGTGGGAGGAAACCGGAGAACCGCAGCGGCCATCCGTCGCGCAGCCGAAAGCGCTCATCATCATCCACAAGCGGAAGACGACGGTACAACCTGCGACTGGGGAGCGGAATATCAACGACGAGAGCAGGTATGGTCACTTGCTGCCCGCCCGTCAACAACCACTGAGTAGCGGCACTCGCGTTATCAGATCGGGCTCATGGCCAGCGCCGTTCGACGGCCGAAGAACGCGGACGGCAAACTCGTAACCCATGACATCGTTTTTTTTGGCTAGATCGCGTAAATATATAAATCTGTCATTAAACCCGCCACCACCCGACACGGCCAATTAGTAAGGTTTGTCACGTGAACAGAACATGCCAATTCGTTACTAGTACAGCACACCGGTGTGTTGAAGAGCAAATCCACAATATTTACAATCTGAGTACGACGTTCCGCAGTAATAACAACTAGCATCATCAAGCGGACAACCGGATTTGGCTCGTAATGTTTGTGGCGGTCCCAGCAATGTCGTTGCTTATCTCTGCAAGGCGCCGTATGAAAGAGCACGATTAGCGTGGTAGCACAACAAGAATAGAGAGGCAATGTATAAGGCGACGTTCCTCACACGTACAATAATTCACACTGCCAAAAGTGAAACTATAGGGGGTGTAAACTATACGACGGGAAGATAGGGGGTATTTACACCCTCTATCTTCCCACCGCGCACCTCCGATGAGCACAGGTGGCTACGTATGGTGCAAAGAAGCTCAACGTACATACGTACAAACACCGCAGGAAATCTACGCACTGCCACTGAGAACCGAGCAAAACCTTCACGCCAATGCATGTTCACTGAACACCACTAATAATGCAAACAACGCTTCATTCCAGTAAAGCGCGAAACAGTCAAACCACCGAGCCAAGGCTTTTGAAAATGTTAGATTAAACATTGGCCATCATTAATAAACAAACAACACATTTCCTGCAATTAACGCCGGCGTGTTTATTTAAACGCAAAGCCAAAACGTTTGCAAATATTCAAGGGGCCGGAACCCATCCTTCATCTCGACAGAGAGAGCATAATTCGTCCCCTCTCGCCAACAATCCTCTTAGCCACGAATCACACCGTTTGTGGACATCGGCCGCTCGGCAAAGCTTCCCGTCATCGATGGACCGACAAGAATTCCCAGATAAGAGGCTCGGCAGAGAAAATCCTTCGTCGCGACAATACCGTGCCCACGATAATGTTTCTGCGCCAAGGGGCGGTCTATGCGATCGCAGGCAACATCCGCACAATGTGCGGGAAAACCGTGCGAAGTGGCTCAGGGTTTACACCCTTGCTAAAATCACCAGCTGCGCGGCGCCGGTCACTTTCTCTCTCGCAAGCGAGAGGCACTTCGGAGTGGCGTGACGCATTGGGCGCAGGTATACACTGCCCATGGACACCGTCACCAACTGCAAAAAACATTCACACCGTCCGTGGCGGTGACCTCCCATATCATCACGGTGGACTACAGCTGTTGCACTGCACTGGGGGTCCAGT